AATCCTTCACCCCCCTGGTTTTTGCAAAAAATTTTATCATAATTTTCGAGTTTCGACTGAACATTTTGATATTTTTGCAGTCGAGAAAAAAGTGTGTTAGTTTTAAGTTTTTAGTCAGCTTGTAGATGAAACAATTGACTCGAAAGGATTATTATATTTCTTGTGTTCAGGTAAGATTCACAAAAGTTTTATTTCTTTTATTCTTTTTAAGTTCTAGCTTGCCAAAGCTTGGGCTGCTTCGGGCAAATTTTATAACTTGCCATTTCGATGGAAACGCATAAATACATTATGTCAAAAACTACCGTTATAAGCAGCAAATGTATAATATTGCTAATTTCAACAATATCACAGTAGCTTTGTATGCTTTTTTTGTTGTTCTTTATATTCAAACTCATTCTCGTACTGTATTAATTGTATCTCATATCTTGGGTTCAAAATCCTTTTCCCGACTTCTTTTGTTTTATATTACTTTGAAATGATGAAATTCGTGATTGGTTTTAACTGTTAACTACCAGGTGTTTGTAGCAGTATTTATTTAGGATGCATGTGCACAACCTACCTTTTTAGTACCCTGCCAGTTGCCACTCTGGCACTTTAAAAAAATTCAGCATTTAAACCTTTATTATAAGTGATTAATAAAGGAACACTATGCCCTACTTTGTTATCCTACTCAGTCCAATACCAGATAATTTTACTTGTTAAGGGGAAAGTGCTAGTGCACTCAATTGCTTAATAATTTTAAGTCATATTAAACATCATTTTTTATTTGTATCACCCCCTCCCTGGATATTCTAGCACATTTTACTTGCGGATCCCCCCTCTACACTGTCACAGCTGTAACTTGTAGCACAGGCTGTGGGAGTCTGAATCTTTTCTGTAATTCATGTAATGACCCAATATAGTTCAAGCGCCCTGACAAATCCAATGGAATTTGCTTATCCTGAGGCTGATGCTCAAGCATGAACAAGAAAAATACAAATAAGATGTTTGAATGCAAGGGCTGTTGCAGAAATAACTTTATTTGATCATTTCCATTACACAATAGCATGTTTATTATATACAAAGAGTGTCAAAGACCATATTCTTCACACTGACCATCTATTAAATTGCAGGTAAAATCATTGACAGGTACCACAAGGATCAAAATGCTGAACAGCCAAAGCAAAATCATACCCATCTGGCTACAAAGTCACAATAATAACTTGTCTGGATAGTTTTATCACTGCTAACTAAATTAATTATTTCTAATAATTGATAATTCTTTAATAAAGAGGTTGAACTATGAACTGTCTCACCATCAAATAATTCTGCAATTAGACCGAAAAGAGATTATATAATTAAAATGTTGTAAAATAAAGTTTTCACTGGAGACAAAAGAGTAAGAAAGTAAAGAAAGGAAATGAGAAAAGTAGCTTAAGCCACTACACTATTTAAAGGCTTGAACGTATTATGCAACTACCTGAAAAATAATACTATAGGTCTTTCACTTGAAATGTTGAAGTTCATTGATTTCTTACGGTTTCAGGTAGTTGCATCTGATACAGGGGTGCACAAGGAGAGGACTGAAATGAACAAAACCCCAAATAAATCCATCTGCATGGACTGGAAGTGACATTATCTACCAATTAAATTGTTTCTGACTTGATGTCTGACTAGCATGTGTGATTTTCTCAGTTCTGGCTTGTATAATGAGATCCAGTGCAACACTATAAAGCTTATAATCTAGATACTTTGCTTATACCTACACTTGAGATTGGTACCCAACATTCAAGAAGTACAATCCTATTTCTAGTGGCTCAAGAATCCTCAATACAACATGTCATTAGTCAGAAATCTAGGTAGAAATCATATTACCAGATAAGTTGCCCACAGTATCCTGAGCTTCTGGCACCCCTAGGCTAGCTTCTACTGGCACCCTAGATTATGCATACTATAATAACCACAGTCTCTAGTATATATAAACACATACAAAGAATATAGATAGAAGCACATTGTTTCATGCCTTTGCACCTGTACATACACTTATTTAGCACATACAATTGCATAAAATCAAGCATGTCAGATTTCAGTCATCAGTCTATATAGAAAACCCAAAGGATTTGAGGGAAAAACTGATTTAACTGAATTAAATAAAACAAAATTTGTTTAACAAAAACCATGGCCAGCCAACAATTTAACAAAGCTAGTAAAGTAAGAAAAAAAAAAACAAAAAAACTTAATTTGAATATAAAAACAAGTTTCTGTATTTTTTTACGACAAGACTTTGAATACATGGGGGAAAATAATACGTTATACTATACAAAGAGCCTGTTATCTAATGGATTATATTCTATCATTTACTCCCATTATCTTTTAAAAATTAAAAATAAAAACATATCAATAGTATGTGAAATATTTAGCTGTGAGCTCTGCCATCAAATATCGCCTTTGCCTAAATTTCTCGGGCTTTTCATATTGGTTTGTTGTCTTTCGCGGGTGAGAATAGCGTGTAGGACTTTTAAATCTTTTAACAAATGGTCAAAAGTCGAAAAAATATAAAATGTAAATATGGCTTCAAGCCATGTGTGTTCTCTATGTAGAGAGAATTTAAAAGTTAAATATGGCTCTTGTGTTGGGACAGTTCCGTTGTTGAAGGTAACAAAAAACAAAGAAATTACAGCAAAAGTATCGGGTAACTGTAGTGGCATTGTTTTGGCAGATTTACTTAAAAGTATCGGAATACTCGTTGACGGGTTGGATCGTGACAATTCGGTTCTATGCAGAAAGTGTGCCAGGAAGATTATCAATTGCACCACACTTTATTATGACATTAAAGGTGGTTTAATACCAAAAAAAGTAATACCATTATGCAAGATAAAGACCAAGAAGATACGAAAACGCAAATGGCCGAGACCAATGAGCGCAAGCGTAATTTTGATTTTTCGCCAAGCGGAATAACACCTCGCCGCAAGAAAACCCTCGTGAACGATAGTTACGATACAAGGAAAAATAACAGTTTGACATGTAAGAAGTCGCTGTTTCAAATGCAATCCTCTTCTGAAAAGGAAGAAAACATTAATGATGCCATAGCTAATCTGATGTGTTTGCCAGTCTCCGAAAAAGAAGAAAAAGTATCGTGTGTTGTGAAGGTGAGCTGTGAGTGAGCTGATGACGATTTTTTCAGTGTTAGTTTTTAGCTCTCTCAGCCGTATACCCTTGACTTCCCAGAGCTTTTCTTTGGAAAGCAAAATTGTTAGCATATGGCGTTAGCCAAGAGAAAATATTATATAAAACAAGGACCGGCCAATGTGGAGAGAATGACGGGTTTTTTTGCGCACGTTATATATAAACCAATTATTAATTGGGCCATGCCATTTAATATGCTCCCCCCCCTATTGAAGGTTAGGGTTCGACACCCACTGGGGCCGGTTGTTCAAAGGTGGATTAGCGCTAATCCAGTTTTAAAATTTAACCCACTGTTTTAGTTTGCAAATTTCAGCATGTCCATTTAAAACTTATATTGATTCAGACATGGTTTGTGAAGAAATATTTCTAAATTTATAACCAAGCTGTTTAACCTAGGGTTAAGCTAATCGGCTTTTGAACAACCGGCCCCTGGAGATTTATACTAATATACCCGACTGGATATTTTGTTGCCTTGTAATCTTCAACCATCTAGGTTTTTTTAAACATTTTTTGGACCTACTGATCAGTTTTTGCTTTCACCCCTTATAGGATATAATAGGTATTTTGTAAAAACCCTGCTCCTTTCCCAAACCCCCCATGAATTTTACTTGGCTCTGTATAGTAACCCCCCTTGGATATTGCATTCTTGGAAAGCCCCCCTCCCCCTGGATATCCATGAATCTCAATAATGGGGGGGGGCACTTTTTAAATGGAATGGCCCATTGAGGAATTTGAGTCTAATGAGTAATGATCTATTCGCTGAAAAAACTCCTGTGTAATATTGCCATTATTTTATTGGCAGATATTTGTTGGATACTCTTCGGGTCGTGTAATCGAACACAATTGCAATGATCATGAAAGTTTGCTTGTAAAAATTTGGCTCTGAAGAATTACAAATCCTCAGCTGTTGGTGTTGTGAAGTTTGGCCCTCTGAGAGATCATGTTTTTGAACAAGTTGGGAAAGAAATGAAGAGAGAAATCCTAATGTATACCACAACTCCTGATGCAAGTTTGAAATACCATGGTGATATCAAGAAGCTCGCAGATTATCGGAATGATCAATTAATAAAAGATGCAGCAGAAAAGCTACCAATTGTGGATACCATAATCAAGGCTGCATTCCCAGGACATAAGAGAGTAAAGAACTCTTTAAATAAACGTGCATTAATAATTTCTACCCTGATAAATCCATGGTTAACTCGTTCTAACTTCACCTACCGTATAAACACTTTGCTCATCTCAGGTGGGTGCAGCTCGGAAGAAGTAGATTGCTTTCATAAATTGGGACTATCAAGTCACTACAACACCTTACGTAATATGCAGACGAATGCAGGTGTTTCTCATGATAAAGTTCTCATTGAGTGGAAAGACAGCATTGTTGATGCAAAGATGAAGGCTCGACTATTGGAAGAAATTCTACCAAAACAGCTTGATGATACTATGATGGATGTATGCACAGTTGACTTCTCACCTGAAGCTGCTGCTAAATGTGTGAACTATAGTCCAGGGGTTTATCAATCTTGCAAAGAACTTTTGCCAAAATCTGATCATGACCTATATGATGACACAGAGATTTTATCTGCAATTTCCTTGGTTAAGAAAGAAAAGTTACCCAAGTTCAGGTAATTTAGTTATTGCATAATGCTTAGATATACATATACAGTAATATGTCCTAATTTATGACTATAATAAAATTGTTTTCATAATATTTTTCACCAACCCCACCCACTCATCACTGACATTTTTTTCTGAAATAGAGTTGTTGGTGATAATTGGGACTTGGAGGTTAAAGCACGATACCAGTCGAGGAAATGTAACAACCAGTCACTCCATTATTTTAATTTATATGCTGTTAAAGATCAGGTCAGTGGTAAAGATCTTAGCAATATACGTCCCCGTAAACTAATTGATCAATTGACCATTTGCGTAATAGACTAAATTTTGATCTAGACAAAAATTTCATCACAGCTTGAAAGAGCATCACAAAATTAGTAATATTCCAAAGTTTCGTTGCAAAATGTTGTAAAATGCGGATAATATAGCCTTGCGAAGTTTGCAATTTTCAGTCATTTTAGATTACAAATGGGAAATTGACAGCCCGATACGCTTTGAGGCTGTCAATTTTCCGTTTGTAATCTAAAATGACTGAAAATTGCAAACTTCGCAAGGCTATATTATCCGCATTTTACAACATTTCGCAACGAAACTTTGGAATATTACTAATTTTGTGATGCTCTTTCAAGCTGTGATAAAATTTTTGTCCAGACTTGTTTAGATCAAAATTTTGTCTATTACGCAAATGGTCAATTGCAAATGGAAGAATTCATGCCCACAGCCAAAGTACAAGAGGATATCGTAGCTGATCTGGCTCACATTGTTCCTAGAGTTATTGTTCACCACATGAAACCATACAAAGAATTTAAGAATGCAGTGGTATACCATATTCCTCATGAACACACAAATGAAATGTCCACAAACTCTGAAATTGTAAGTAAATTTACTAATATCAAATAAGAATAAAATTATCTGGCATTATGCAGAATAAAACTCTATTCTCTAATAATAAAATAGGGTGCATCTGAGTACATTGCCACTTAAAGGGTTAATCACTGGTTGTAATGATCAAAATAATATATACATAATTGGTTAATGCTTTTGCTTTGTTCCTATTGTCATTTCGTGCTGTCAAATTGTTTACTAATAAAAATAATTAATTAAGTTAGAATACATTTATTTTCAATTTAAATTTCAGTGCCCACTAGGACTTCATTTTTTAAATTCTAATAAAGCCGCAGAGATGGCTCAGATTCTGGATGACGTGCACAGTAAATACGTTCCAACAGTAACTTTGGATAATGTACCAGTAGTCCTTGATCATGTAATATTGGATGGTGATCAATTAACCGAGGAGAGAGCAAGGAATGCTCAGTGGGCAAATTCACTGGCTGGAACACAGGCAGAAAGAATGGAAGGAATAACACCTGCTTTTGCTGATTGGCATCTAAAAAAAAATTCTTAACTGTATGTTTAACTGTCTTAAAATTAATGAATACTAAAAATTATAGATGGATCTTTAGATTTTGCCATGGGGGGTGACAAAAATTTAGGGGGCCAAGCCCCCAGAAAATGTTGAGAATTTTGGTCTTATTTAGTTCAAAATCCTTGTTTTTGCCTTAGATAGTCCAAAATCATTATTTCAATCAAACTATGAGCAGTTGGTGGTGGTGGTGGTGAGGGGGTGCAATATATGGTGGGTGGAAAAACTTTCGAGGAGGGGTGGAGGGAGTGCCATATATTGAAATTACATGTGAATTAATAATTGTATTTGAAAAGATTGCCTGATCATATGTAATCAACATGTGAATTGCTTGGTTATAATGAGGTACTGTAATTGACTTTGATGTACTTTGCGTTTTAGTCTGCTTAGCGGGCACATTTTTTTACCTAGTTGACGCATCTTGATGCGGAACCTTTGCCCCTTAATTAATTAGTAATATTATTGCTGATGGGGCCATGTTTATATTTTGTGGCAGTGCGTTGTGGATCCAGCACTTGCCACAAGTGTGCCACAGCACAGGTTCTTGGTTACACTGTACAAATACTCGAATAATTAATGGTTATTTTTTAACAGTGCTGCCCTAATTGTATTGCAGATTTGCTCAAAGCTTTTCTTTAAAGAAGGAACTTCTGGTGAAATTGGCACATCATGTGCGTCAATGAATCGAACAGGCAAAAGTAATGCCAAGAAAGGACCAGACGAAGATTACAATGCTTACAGTGATTTCATACAGCATGAAAGTGAGGCACATATCATTGCAAAATGGATTGTATTCGCAGGAATGAAAGATATGGAAAGTATTATACCATTATTTTGTTAAGCTCTTTTCCACACTAAAAAATTGCTCAAATTATATATGTATATTATTAAAAGGGGCAACATTTTCTTATTGTTGACCACCCATGTTTGGTACACAAGTTATTTTCTTTTTGTTATCTAAAAGTAATGGAAAATATCTAATGTGCTGTGAATATGGCAGACTGTATGTCAGTACCATATTATAATAGTTCAGGCAGGATAATTAAAAGTTCTTTTAATTAAAACTTTCTAAATACTTTTAAATTAATGGACAATGTTTGCAATGTGTCCAATTAATGTACAATTATGACATTTTGGTAATTGGAAAAGATCACCTTTTGTGCATTACACTAAAGATGCCTGTTTTTTATATCGGCTTTTTTTCCCCAAAAACAATTTAGGTTCCCCATTAACAAGACCAATTCCAGATATCACCAACTGGGACCTTCAGACGAAAAGAGATTGGCTATACAAAGAAATGCATGTCTTTTTAACAGAAATATTTCAAAGAACCAATTTACACGAGAAAGTAGTTATGTTAGATGAAGCATTTACACAA